CCTAACATAAACAGTTTCAACGGTACGGACTGGAGTATATTTCTATCGATTTTAAGGTCCGTGATCACTCGACTGTGACGAAATTTTATAGGCATAAACTACACTCTAACTTCCTTGTATAACCCAAATACGAGACCCCTATCTATTACCGTTCTCGAGATATGGCAGAAAATCACTGGACCGTGACTGAAGGCTACTAGAAAAAAATTTTTGCTGATACGTGATTGGAATAGGTTTTCTGATCATGCCCATACCTTCAGATTCTTGATAGGACCACTCAGAAGCCGGCAAAAGGCCAAAATCACTAGACCGTGACGGAGGCACCGGAGATAAAAAATTTCTTGAAAAAAGTGTTAAACTAAATTTTCTCAACCTACCTATGTCTTTTTTTTTCTCAATATCTCAAATCTTAAGCGCAACATTCCGAACTCACTGGACCGTTACGGGGAAGGGGAATCCCCAAAGTTGAGGTGGTAATATATTCTATTAATTAGTCCCTTCTATATTTAAGCATCACTTTGCCCAAAAACCGATTCCAAGTTCTCCTAATAGCCCTAAACCAAATTACCTAAGTGGGCGTGGCTTTCTAAACGTTTTCTCACCACTGGGGGGGCGGGGGCACATCCCCCACCCCCAAACACGTTTGGAAAAATTCCCAATGCCCGGGCAAACCCTTTCCCGGCCCGGATACGCAGCCAAAGGGCTTCTAAACCCCAAAATCACTCTTGCGTGTCTTGATTGACAGCCTGAAAATGGCAATGTCGCACATCCTCAAATTTGGGCCACTAAAATCCAGTTTTGGCCCACTTCCTCTGGCCCGATTTTTCTGAAAAATTTCTCTGCTGATCGGGGTACCGTCAGCTGTCTTTTGACACCTCCCGCTTGTCTCTGCCACTTCCCGTTCTCCGTAACATACCTTTTGCACCCCAATTATCACTATACTTCATATCAATGTCCTGGCCCGTGGTGCCTGGTTTCTGTTGTGGCTACCGCCACGATTAAAAAGACGGCGGGATCCCATCCAGTGTAGACGTCTGCCTGCGGCAGCCGCGAGGGGGCCGCGGGCGCACAAACGGTTGGTTCGGGACCATGCCGGTTGTGTCTATGACGCTCGGGCCGCCATTCGTTGCGTCGGACGTATCGCGGCATGATCCGTCCGACGCCATAGGCCCCCCAGAACATAAACGGTTTTGTCTGCATTGATAAGAGGACGACGTGTTGGCCAAGTATAAAGGTTCTACTAACTGCAGAACTAGAAATATACATTTTTGCAATTTGACCACTAGTGGGAGCTCGGGTGTGCTGGAGTCCCTATACTATGAAAGAGTGCCACCAAATCTTTCCACTGACCGACTTTGAAGACTCTATCTATCGCAGAAGCTGAGATATGAATTTTTGCGATTTGACCACTAGTGGGTGCTCGGGTTCGGTGGAGTCTTCGAACTAAGAAAGGGGACCAGCAAAGCTTTCGACTGAACGAGTTTGAAGACTCTATCTATCGCAGAACTCGAGATATAGATTTTTGCGATTTGACCACTAGTGGGAGCTCGGGTGCGGTTGGGTCCCTAAACTAAGAAAGAGTAACACTAAAGCTTTCCGCTGACCGACTTTGAAGACTCCATCTATCGTACGAGCCGAGATTTAGCGATTTAAACATTTGTCCACAAGGTGGCCGGACACGTCCAAGACTTTTTTTGACGGGGTAATTAGTTTAGTTATTCACGTTTTCAAAGTACGAGCCCTCTACCCACACGGGAACCCATATTTCCCATCACAGGCTTCCTAAACACAGAATACACTACCTAAATAGTGTTGCCAGGTTTCACAAAACACGTTTTCGATAATGTAGGCGGGGTGGGGAATCCCCCCCGCCTTAAAAATACTTGAAATAATTTTATCAAAGGCCCACTCGCCTTTCACGGCCCGAAAACCCCGAGAAAACGGCTCTTTTCATAAGAAATCAAAGGATTGCCTTATATGGAACATCATGTGATTGACGAAAATAGGAGAAACGCACTTTGGGAACTTTCGGCCCGTTTTTAGGGCCCTTCCCGTGACCCGATCTTTCTGAAAAATTTCTCTGATCGGTTTGGTAACGTCAGCTTTCTTTTGACACCCTGGGCTTGTCTCTAGGACGTCTAGTTCTCTCAAACATACCTGTTGACACCCCATTCCGTATTAACAACCCAATCTACATAGCCGCTGGCTTCTGGTTTTTGTGGCAGCTAGCGCTGCATTGAAAGGGACGGGCGGAAAGCATCCAGAATAGACGTCTGCCTGCGGCACACGACGAGGGGGGCCGCGGGCGCACAAATGGTCGGTTCGGACCATGCCGGTTGTGTCTACGACGCTCGGGCCGCCATCTGTTGCGTCGGACGGATCGCGGCTTGATCCGACCGACGCCATCGACCCCCCCTAACATAAACAGTTTCAACGGTACGGACTGGAGTCCATTTCTATCGATTTTAAGGTCCGTGATCACTCGACCGTGACGAAATTCTATAGGCATAAACTACACTCTAACTACCTTGTATAACCCAAATACGAGACCCCTATCTATTACCGTTCTCGAGATATGGCCTAAAATCACTGGACCGTGAATGATGTATACTAGAAAAAAATTTTTGCTGATACGTGATTGGAATAAGTTTTCTGATCATGCCCATACCTTTAGATTCTTGATAGGACCACTCAGAAGCCGGCAAAAGGCCAAAATCACTAGACCGTGACGGAGGCACCGGAGATAAAAAATTTCTTGAAAAAAGTGTTAAACTAAATTTTCTCAACCTGCCTATGTCTTTTTTTTTCTCAATATCTCAAATCTTAAGCGCAACATTCCGAACTCACTGGACCGTTACGGGGAAGGGGAATCCCCAAAGTTGAGGTGGTAATATATTCTATTAATTAGTCCCTTCCATATTTAAGCATCACTTTGCCCAAAAACCGATTCCAAGTGCTCCTAATAGCCCAAAACCAAATTACCTAAGTGGGCGTGGCTTTCTAAACGTTTTCTCACCACTGGGGGGGCGGGGCACATCCCCCACCCCCAAACACGTTTGGAAAAATTCCCAATGCCCGGGCAAACCCTTTCCCGGCCCGGATACGCAGCCAAAGGGCTTCTAAACCCCAAAATCACTCTTGCGTGTCTTGATTGACAGCCTGAAAATGGCAATGTCGCACATCCTCAAATTTGGGCCACTAAAATCCAGTTTTGGCCCACTTCCTCTGGCCCGATTTTTCTGAAAAATTTCTCTGCTGATCGGGGGTACCGTCAGCTGTCTTTTGACACCTCCCGCTTGTCTCTGCCACTTCCCGTTCTCCGTAACATACCTTTTGCACCCCAATTATCACTATACTTCATATCAATGTCCTGGCCCGTGGTGCCTGGTTTCTGTTGTGGCTACCGCCACGATTAAAAAGACGGCGGGTTCCCATCCAGTGGTGGTCAAAGGTGCGGCCTTCGGCCTCCCAACGAGGGGGAAAAGCGCTAAAGCGCACATTTATAACGCTCGACGCTTTTTTAAAAACGTAGCACTCGCGTGTCTATCACCGCCGTAAGTCGCGCCGATCGAATAGCGGAAATTCGATCGGCGCACGCCCCCCAAATTTGAATTGTTTACCAAGTTTAATCGATCTGTAGGCGTTTCACCACTAGGGGGCGTGTGGAGGACTCTAATTCATGAAATAAAGAATTAGGGTCGTTAGTACAACGTGTCGGCCAGGTTTACAGGTTCTACTAACTACAGAACTCGAGATAAAGATTTTTGCGATTTGACCACTAGTGGGAGCACGTGTGCGGTAGAGACTTCAAGCTAAGAAAGAGTACCACCCAAGCTTTCCACTGACCGAGTTTGAACACTCTATCTATCGCAGAACTCGAGATATAGATTTTCGCGATTTGACCACTAGTGGGAGCTCGGGTACGGTCGGGTCCTCAAACTAAGAAAGAGTAACACTAGAGCTTCCCAATGACTGACTTTGAAGCCTCTATCTATCGCAGAAGCCGTAATTTAGCGATTTCAATATTTGACCACAAGGTGGCCGGATCCGTCCCAAATTTTTTTTGAGGGGTTAATTAGTTTAGTTATACACGTTTTCCAAGTATGAGCCCTCTGCCTACACGGGAACCCCTATTTCCGATAACGACACAGACCAGACTGCCGAAATGGTGTTGCCAGGTTTTAAAAAACTAAGAAATCCCTTTCTCGTTATCTGGGGCGGGGAGGGGAAACCCCCCCGCCTTGAAAAAATTCAAAATAATTTTAGCGAAGTCCCTCTCGCCTCGCGCGGCCCGGAAACCCCGGGAAACTGCAAGAAATCAAAGGATTACCTTATATGGAACGTCATGTGACCTACGCATTGAAGGAGAAAGGCACTTTTTGGCTTTCGGGCCGTTTTTCGGGCCCTTCTCGTGGCGGGATCGTTCTGAAAAATTTTCTCGGTAATGGGGGGAACGTCAGCTCTCTTTAGACACCTCGGGCGACCCTGTAGGACTTGCGGTTTTCTCTATTAGGCTTGTTGACCCCGACTTTTGCACTTCACAACCCAACCACACTTCGCACGTTATACGTGCACCGAAAACTATCACCTGTTCGCGCCTCACGGCGCGGTCGGTTTGACAAACCGTGCTGCAACATCCAGCTGAGCCACACAAAAAATTAATTTTTTTACGTATACAACAAAATAAAAAAAAATTAACAATGCGAAATTTTCTTCATTTAACATTTTTGCGGGGCCCTTAAAATTTCAAGTTCTTGCATAATTTATTTTAGACATAAACTGTCAGATTCAGAATTTTATGCTTGATGGGGATAAATCTAAGTTATAACAAGGGCCACACTAAATGGCTCGGTGGGCCGGATCGTGGCTCGTGAGACGCCTGTTGCACACCCCTGCATTAAATCGGGCACTCCAGAAGTGTGTGTACCAATGTGTATGTAACTAATTTTGTTCGCCTACTTTACATCAAGTTTTGTAAAGGGACTGAAACCTATGGGCAGAGGGTGTATTCACTTGGTTAACACGGACAGTCCCCGAACTCGTAAGAGAACTAAAATATTCTCAGTTCAACCGGAAAGATTAGGGAAAATCGGAATAAAATCATGGCCTAACCCTAACCTGGTACATGCATTACAAGAGTAAAGTTATCAAAGTAATAGGAAAAAGTTACAGCATAAAAAGCAATATTACAAAAGCACAATGAAAGTAGAGAAAGCAAGTCTGGGTAACTAGTCCCATTCATATCTGCAGAATCGGTGTTTGGCATGTTACAAATACCCGCTCGAGTCAAAGCCCTATTTTCAGTCTGGGGTAGTTTTTTAAAATTCTGCATGTTTGAGAATCAGAGTGGAATTTTTGAATTCACTGGAGTCGAATGTTTGACATGTTTTTATTAATATTAGTCAAATTCGTGGTTTAGTTTTTCCTAATTCGGATTGAAAATTTTAAATTTTCCTAAGTTGGATTTGGATTTTTCAATTTAGTTGAAATTTCAAAATTCAAAAGACAATCCCTCCTGGGAAACACAGGTTGCAGTGAACCCTTCGTTCTTAAATATACGTATAAGTCCATGCAACTGAAACAAATAACCGGCTAACTATTCCCATATCTGACATTGACCGGTAACGGAACGCGAGGCCGTTAAATTTGAAATCAGGACAAAGCCGTATTGTCATCTTTCCACTGCCCCAGAAATAAATATGAAAATCCGATTCTGTATCTAAATACTGGATGCTTGACTAGTAATTCTGATTCTATCACAGTGGTAGAGTTCTGTCTTTGAATCGATGGCCATTCTTTCATCATAATCAATGGGTTGAACTTTTGTATGAACTTCTTTAAATCTGCGTCATTCAGTCATCAAGTTCTGAAAAAAAAAAATTTGGTTTCGAAGCTTTTTATATAAATATATACGAAAGGATTTTGGGGTCTTCGTCGCCCTAGAGTTGTGTGCGAAACCATTAAGCATTAATCGATTATGACTTCTTCCAACGCCAACGTGTATAGACTGACTATCTATCACCTTACGCAATCGGCGAGGCGGGGTGGCTCAACGGGCTAAGCGTTAGGAATACGCTCGCCACCGCACCTCTAATTACTCTGCGTGGGTTCGCGGGTTCGAATCTCATGCAGGGATGATTATGTGCGAGAAGATTGCTGGACTCCTCACCGTCGTTGGGTGGTTCATGTAACCGCTGGTCGGTTACGGCTTCCTGCACCACCAAGTCCATGCTTGCAAAAAAAAACAATATAACTAATCCCATACCCGACTTGGAATGGTAACCGGACGTGGTTCGCCATATGGATAAGCCGTCTTATAGGCTTTCCTCTCCCCCGGGATAAATCCTATCCTATCCTAGATTTGTAACCGGACAAGACAACGTGAGCCGCAATTCGCTTAAATCGTCTTAACGACTCACCCCATGACACAATTTTCCACCCCCAATGAAATCTTCGAAGTATTCTGATGTCATGTTATTTAAATATGACGGCAACTTTTGACTTCAACCCATTTCGGTGGATTATCATGACGTCACAGTATCATATAATTTTAAAGTCATCTTCCCATTACAATAATGTCTCAAAATATTCTGACGTCACAGAGTACGTATTATGACAGCATACAATGTCGACAACGTTTGTATTCACTGTCATTTTACCCCCAAAAGTTGGGGATTCCCCTCATTAAAACCAGACACACTTACCTATAACAGTCAGTATAGCTTTGCTTGTTGCAACCCCTTTGTTATTCTCCGCTCTGCACATGTATTCGCCCATATCGTCTACAAAGCTCTCATTCATGTACAGAGAGTACTGAGTGCCTTTGTTGATGTACTGGTAGTCTGGGCTGTTTCTGATGACACGGTTGTTGAAATACCACGTCACCTAAATGAAGGAAAAAATTGATTAGGATTTTGGGTGATTTTAAACCGTCTTTAACAACTTATGAGTGTCGATAACACCTGGCTAACTAATCCCATACCCGACCTGGACTGGTAGCCGGAAGAGAGGCCGTGGTTCGCCATATGATCAAGCCGTCTTATCGGCTTTCCTCTCCCCGAGATAAATATATAAATTCTATTCTATCCTAATAGTAAACGTAGCTTACATAGTAGCGCAGTAGATGACTAGTGTTATATTTGGTGTTTCGACGGTTAGAATGTCATGTTAATGTAGCTTACGTAGTGACGTAGTGAACCTGGTGCTAGTGAATTCGATACAAAAGAGAACGCGTTATTCAAATTTCGAATCTCGTCACTCGGGATAAACAATATTATAAAGTTCACGAATCGCTTGTCTTAATGCTCCATACAAACCTTGGGGTGCGGATTCGCATGTATCACAGCGTCAAATCTCACTGGTTTTCCCTCAGTCAAAGTAATGTTAGACAACGTATTAGTAAACCACGGAGCTCCTGTGTAGCCTGAATCACTGCTGCCGGGGGTGCTGACGTCCTCCCGTGTTGTAGATATTGGCCTTTGGTCGTCTGTGTAAAAAGAATAAATAGAGATTAGGTGGTCGGTATGCTGTCTCAATGTATTCGCGACGCGATGGACTAGTGGTTTAAATGTTAGACTTAGGATAGGATATGATTTACATATTTATCCCGGAAGAGATGAACGGCGAAGTAAATTATAGTAAATTATTCGAATCGTTTTTTTATCCTTTCCGGCAATTGTTGAGGTAAATTTCTCTTTATTTTTCATTGAAGTTATATTTTTTCAACACAATTCTGACATATGGCTCTTTTCTGTAGCGAGTTATTGACGAATATTTTCGGAAGCATGGACGTGATAGTGAAGTGGAGTAAATAGTGTATGCAATGCCAGAGCGGTAAAATTCTGGTTCTTCCTAAATAATAAAAGGTTGTCCAGGGTCTTGTTCAGAGAGGAAGTCATGAACAAGCATCTTCAAGAAAAGGCCAAGTGATTGGCTTTCTCTTTAAGTTCATATACCTGAAATGAATATTTCATTAACTATTTCCATACTCGACGCAAACTGCCCGAAAGATCAAAAAAATTGCAATCATGTGAGGTAAAATGTGTGCTGATTAGAAGTGTGAGATTTCAACTTCGACTCTATGTAATTCAAAATGCTGACTCTGACTCGAAAAGGGTTAAAATATCAACCCTGCTTCGACTTGAATGAAAATTCAAGTTTTCAAATTCTGATAATTACGACACCGCTCCACTAGATGGCACAATTTATCTGTGTAGGAATTCATTACCTTCCTGCTCTTCCTCTGATTCACTCTCTTCTTCTTCCTCATTTTCTTCGTAATTCTGTGAAATAAGTTAGAAAATCAGAAGAAAATCCAAACAGAAGGGAAATATTATTATTATTGAATTTGGTTACATTAACAACAGCTCGACAGATCAACATTCGGAGCGATTGCGTGAATGTACTTTCTTGTTTTTCAATGAATACCTACTAAAGATGTTTCTTGAGCATATAGCATAGTTGCGTTGAACTAAACTATGTTGGCATTGCAGGTAAAATTTTGATTCAAACCCTATGCCGATGGTGTGATAAATTTTTCTGATTAAAGGTAAAATTTTGCCAGAATTTGCCAGGATTCGAATTCTATCAATATATTTTCCAGCTTTTGCAGTGATTCCAAACAGTATTATGACAATAATTTCAATAGTATGAATTTCCTTAATCACTTTTATTTTAGTCAATGTCCACTCCAATCTTGTTACCCCCCTCCCAATTAAAAAAAAATTCACAAACCTCCTCAAATTCTTCCTCACTCTCGTCAGTATATTCAGTTGAGTAATCAGACTCCTCGCTGTCATACTCGGCTTGAGCTTTGGCAAGTTTTTCTTGTAGAATTTGGAGCTTGAAAATAAGATTTTATAAGGTTAGAATAGCGAGTTGGTTTCTGCGAGACTAACTACTTATCCTTCTTCTATGCTTTTTGTACCGATGGATCCGCATGCATATAATGCAAGGATGCTGTAGCAAGAGTTAAGATGACAATCCTAAGTGATTCAAAAGTCTGTTGAACACAAACACAAATATATTTCTGTCTTCAGTCTGACCTTGGTTTGTCTTAGTGTGCAGCAAGACTCTTGAATCACTTTAGATTAGAATAGCGAGTAAGAATAATTTCCATGAAATAGAAAGTATCATAGCAACCTTCGTTTAGATCAAGTTGATCAAGTTCTTAAAGTTGATTGACAGGTGACCAAAATTAGAAGTGAAAGGAAATTCGCGGGACGGGGGAGGCGAATGACCGCAATGACGTGACTCGTTTGCAATCCTAATACTGTACCGGTACATATAATTATGATACCTGTAATTGAATTGTTAAGAATATGCACGTCCACAAACTGTTATATCAATGCAACAATGACAGTATCTATTCGCTCAAAGCATGGAGTGGCGCATTACATTAAGTGTTTGAGATACGCCACTGTATCTCTGATTACCCTGAGTGGTTCAACATTTTGCAGGCTAAAATCCTGTTTGGAAATTATTATGTGTGAGAGGATTGCTGGACTCCTCGCCGCTACAATGTGTTTAGCATAACGACTGGTTGTTTATCTTCTTTTATTATCAAGTCCATGCTTTCGAAACAAATCACTGGCTAAGTAACCCCACACCCGACATGGATTGGTAACCGGACGAGGGGCCTTGGTTCGCCATATGATTAAGCTGAACCATCTAATTGTTTCTCTTCATCTATTTGACATAAAAAAATCTGTTCCTACCTGTTTTTCTTTCGCCAAAAACATTTCTTGCTGCTCAACGGTCATTCGACAGAACTTTGTCTCCATGATTCGTTTTTGTTCAACTTCACGCTGAGCCTAAAAAGGTTGCAAGTCTAAAAACGGATGTAAGTTTTCAACAAGTTCTAAATTTACCAATTTGCAAGAGAAAATAAATTCAGATGTAGAATTGTGGGATCTTATGGAAAAAAAAACAGCCAAAGCTCAAACTAAAGTAATTAATAGTTATCCAGTTAGGGTAAGGCAAGGAATACATAATGCTCTGGAAATTCAAATTTTCGAATCATTCCCGACCATAACTAGATAAATATTAATTTTCTATTTCAAAACGTGGCTAAAACTCGAGATTTTTGCATTCGTGCCGGGGGCTTGCGTACATGTGTAAAACTGATCACCTTGAGTTCATATAACCACGATTAAAACATACATCAATGCTGAATCTTTACTCTTAACAAACAGACAGTCTATCCCTTTGGGGAAAGCGGGATAACATTTACTAAGCACAGGGGACGTTACGATCAACTACTACAGGCAGAATTGGCAGAACTGGCTGGCATGTGTAAAATAAAGATGGCTACCATATTCTACGACCATGAGGTGCACCGGGTTTTAAGGCGCACAGTCAATAAATTGCTGAGATCGACGGCCACCGACACAACTGGTTTTAAGTGTAAACAATAAAGCATAAAGAACTAACTGATCCATAGATTAGACGCTTATAAGCAAACAATCGATGTTTGAGAAAAGGGGGATTAAAAGTGCGCTTTTAATCCGTTAAATACAGTTATCATACCTTCAGCACTGCATCCATTTGTTGTCTCACATTCAACTTGCTGATTGGTCGATGCAGTTTTGGTTCTTTTAAGATGTCATCTTCATCACTTCCGCTGCAACTCTCCTGAAAATTCAGCAAATGGTTAGAGTAAGCATATTAAGTGGGATTCGTGGTATGTTCTAGGTTTGGACAAACAGAAAACTTCACACAAACGTATTATGTGAACCAAGATGGTGGACACCCGAACGTAGTATGTGTACCAGGTTAGGGTTAGGCCATAATTTTAGTCCAATTTTTCTTATATTAGTTTTATTACGAGTTCGGGGACTAGCCAATTGACTCACGTAGTATTTGTACCTAAAATTATGGCCTAACCTTAACTTGGTACACATTCCGGTATCCGCCATCTGGGTTCACACACTACATGAGTATCCAAAGATTCACGCCATCTCACCTCAGCTTCTTTCGTTTCTTTAAACCTTCTTCTCTCTTCTGCTAATTCTCTCTCTTTTTCTTCTCTCATTTTCCTTCTCTCTTCTTCTTGTCTCATTTTAGCGATCTCGTTAAACTGGGTGAACGTCGACGACAATTTCTTGGGCCGAGGTTGCCTGACTTGTGGCGATGGGATTTCGGATTTCTCTTCCTTATCGCTATCCTGTTAAAATAAAAATAAAAGATTCTGAGCTTTCAACTAATTTTCAAAGATGGAGCATTTTTGCTTAAACAAGTGCTCATGTAGAACTGGGGAATACACAATGGTGGAATCAAGAGGTTCGTGCAAACAGTTTCAGAATGTCGCAATATTCTGAAATTCCCATCCTGTTTTATACATTAAACCAGTGAGTTTTCCTCAGAACATTGGTGTACCGACTAACGTGATCGACATTCGGGTGTTCAGGGTCAAATTGAAGTTTTTGAATTTTTTCTGATTAATAACAGATTAATGATAACATATTGAACAAATAGAAACCAGTTTGTTGCCAGAATTTGAATTTATCTTTCCAAATCGAGTCATGAGCTCCTATTGTTCTTTCCGCTATTTCCTTTCTATGCTAATAAATAAATTTTCCTTTCTGACTAATAAATAGATCGAAAGAATAGTTGAAATAATTATTGGTTAAGAAGATCTTTTTAAAAAAATATAGACTTTTCTTTTGGTGTTCTGCGAGTAGTTTATGATACAAAAGATCTTCTGCAGACTAAATCAGCTTGAATATCACTGAGTTAAACAACCCTCGCAAACGGGTAAAGAGCACCACAGCTGATGTTAGGATAGGATTTACATATTTATCACGTGGGAGTGGAAAGCTGATGATAGGCTTATTCGTATGCCGAACAGCGGCCTCTCGTCCGGTTACCAGTCCATGTTGGGTATGCGATTACTTAGCTGGTTATTTTGTGTTATATTTGACGTTTCGAAAGTTATGTGTCAAGATATGTAAAGTGTGTCACGGTATTACAGCTAACGGAGTGACACACATACATTTTATTGAATTAGGAAACTCGTTGTTAGCGAGTTCAATACAAAGCGGAACCGGTTGCTAAAATTTTGAGTTTGGGATAGGATAGGATTTACATATTTATCCCGGAAGCGAAGAAAGTCGGAAAGATGGCTTTACAATATGGCAAACCACGACCTCTCGTCCGCTTACCATTCCATGCCAGGTATGGGATTAGTTAGTTATTTGTTTTTGGATGCATGGACGTGATGGTGGAGGAACCGACCAGCGCTACACAGCGCAAGAATATGGATAGAATAGGATTTACATATTTATCCCGGAAAGATGGCTTAACCATATGGCAAACCAAGCCCTATCGTCCGGTTACCAGTGCATGTTGGGTATGGCATTAATTAGCCAGTTATTTGTTTCAGATGCATAGGCTTGAAATTTTTACTTTTTAATCCTGTACTTAGCTCGACCATGCCATCTTATCACTTTTCTTCCCCCCTTGATGAATAAAAAAAATCATATTCTACCCTCTCAATTTGTGTTTACTTACATTCATTTGTTCTCTTTCTTCTTGGAATCTTTTTAACTCCTCCTCCATTTCTTTAATTTTTCTCTCTTGCGCCACCATGCGTTCTTTTTCAGCTCTCTCCTTCTCCTGTTCTTCGAAGTTGGTCAGCGTTGATGAAAGTCTGCTCGGAGATATTTGTTGGACTCGAACACTGTCTGTTTCATCTTCATCAGATGAGTAGTCCTACAAAAAAAGTGGATTTGGTGTAAAAAATATGGAATTTGGCTTAATCATATGCCAAAGCATGGTCCCATATTCAGTGGAAGACTTCATTGCAGAGTTGGATTTACATATTTATCCAGAAGGAAAAGAAAGCTCTTATTCATGTAAAAAAAACTAATAATGTGGTAAACCATGATCCCATATCTTGTATAGGAATAGTTAACCAGTTGGCCTTCTTGTCTACATTACATATTGGAATAGGATTTCATATTTATATTAAAGAGAGGAAAGCCAAAAGACGACTTAATCATTTAACAAATCCTGGCCTATTGTATGATTACCAGTTCACATCGGCTGTGGGAATAGGGTAAGATTAGACATGGAGTGGACGTATGGATCGCTTTGTTACTTATCGATCTCAAGATCGGTGAGTATGTTGATATTTGGTATTTGTCTGTTTGTTTGTCTGTCTGTCTGTTAGATGCACGCGATATCTCACGAAAGCGAGTTGGATCTGCTCCAAATTTTGCAAATTTGAATGGGTTAGTCATTTATTTGTTTGAGATGTATGAACCTAATGGTTCAAGAAACCGCAAAGAATCCTCAGCTCATTGAACTTGGAAGTAGTTGGAGCCATGAGTGACGGGTACACAATTATTCACCAAGTGATTTGAACCTGTGCAGGGTATCAGAACTGCAATGTCAAGCGTGTTCTCAACGATTTGCAAATAATCACTGGCAAAAAATGAAATTATTGACAGGATTTTTATCACTGATTCATGAAAGATTCCGGTCCACCCAAATAATGGCTCTCTGCTTATTGTGCAAGGCTCTATTCGTGGCAGAAGGAGGAGATATGCGTCTTGTAAAAAAAATCATCTTAGAGAGACTATAACTACAGTTCCCTACCTTTTCTTCTTGAAGTCTTTTAGCTTCGGCAAACAATCTTTTTTCTTCCTCCAGTTGAGTTGATTTGAGTTGATACGCTCTGTTGCGTTCCTCCTCAATTCTCTTCTTCTCTATAACGTCAAACTCAGTGAATACCTTTGAAAGTTTTTGGGGGGTGCGTCGAATTTTTGGGCTTCCCTGTGAGTCCTCCTCAGATTCTTCATTTTCTTCCTGGGGAGAAAAAATATTACAAGTTACAAGCAGCTACTGACACTCTAGAACAGGTTTGCAACATTAATTTTATTGTTCACCCTTTGGGAAAGTTTAAAAATAAAATTACACCCTTTGAATTGTTGTCGAATTGTCTTTTCCAGTCTGCCATAAGTGGAATATGGCGCTATATTGAACATTTTTTGAGAACAAAGAGAAGGGTGGTTCAAGGTTGTCGGCTTCGCGGGCCACAAAATTATTTTCGAATTGTTTGCGGGCTACAATAGTACCAAGAATAGGTAAACCGCTCAATACAAAACGAACGCTTTTATTGTGCAAACACATAGTTATTAGACATAGCCATCCCAGGCTAATAAAATCCGCATTCGATTTTTAGAAAAATTGTTAGCATATTTTCCCGACCAAAAAGATAGAAAGCCAGAAAATAATTTAGACTGCCTCGCACAGCATTCAACTTCGCTAGTTGCCTCAGCTAACCATAACACTAGTCAATTCAGTGACATTATTGATGTAACAATATGTCAAAAGATTTTTCCGATTAATTTTATCACGAAATAACACGAAATGCGATTTTTCGATTACTCTTCGAATGCGATGCGGGCCACAAATAATGGAGCGGCGGGCCACATGTGGCCCGCGGGCCTAGGTTTGGACCACCCTGACCTAGAGCATGATAATTTGTATATTACAACACAAACTTTTGTGTACCCACTAGAAAGTCTAAGTTGAATAAAGGTGTGGCCCGAGGTTTCACACGGTTATTTTTGTCAGGCTGTACACCCCCGCCGTACATCACAACTTAGAACTAAAATAGTTGACTCGTTACCATCATTTTCTTTGCTTCCCGGAACATCTTTTTTTCTTCTTCCAGCTTTTTCTGGCTTTCTTGCTGAATTTTTTCCCGTTCTTCCTCTTTCTTTCGCTTGGCCATCACATCAAATTCTGTGAATGACTTATCGAGTCGGTTCGGCTTTTTCAAGGACTTTTCAGTAGGTTTCATTTCAGCTGTTTCATTTTCTTCTTCCTAAAGAGGAGAAGTTTTGTTATGAATTCAGACTGTGGTAATGGAGATTCATCTCTGAGCAAAGTTACGCGCACTCACTCAGAAGTGAAGAGACCTATCTCTGAGCAAAGTTACAGGCACTCATTCAGAAGTGAAGAGACCCATCTCTGAGCAAAGTTACGCGCACTCACTCAGAAGTGAAGAGACTCATCTCTGAGCAAAGTCATGTGCACTCACTCGAAGTAAAGGAGCCTCATCTCTGAGCAAAGTTATGTGCACTCACTCGAAGTAAAGGAGCCTCATCTCTGAGCAAAGTTACGGGCACTCACTCGAAGTAAAGGAGACTCATCTCTGAGAAAAATTACAGCAACAACTGAAACTATGTTGAAATACAAACCTTTATTCTCTCTCTCTCTTCCTCAAATAATTTTTTCTCCTCGTTGAGTAATTTCGCCCTCTCTTCTCTTATTCTTTGACGCTCCTCTTCCATTTTATGCTGCGCCATAATATCGAACCGAGTCTTAGAATAGTCGAGTCTGCTCGGGACACCACCAGGTGACGCTACCTGTAAAATTTAGAGCGGGGAGGGAAGAAGAACGTTAGAGTGAAAATGAAGAAGAGCGTGAATGAGAAGTGATATTGAAAAGAAAAGATGGAAAATTTGTGGAAAGATCGGAAATCGTGAAATATTTTGTATAGAAGAAAGATTGTATGAAAAATCAAGAAAATTAAACTAGAAATGAAAAAGAAGTGAAATAGAGGAAAAATGAGAAGTTAGTGAAGAATAAAAATTTGTAAAAAGATCGTAAAGTCGTAAAAGAAGTGAAATACTTTGTTAGAAAAGAAGAAGGTATGAAACGTTAAGAAATAAGGATTAGAAATGAGGAGAAGGCGAAAGAGTAGAAAACAGACAAGACAGTGAAGAGATGAAAGTTTGTAAAAAAATAGAAAAATTATGAAAAGATTAGAATATCTTGTAGGAAAAAAAGAACATATGACAGATTAAGAAAATTAAGGATAACTGTGGAAACAAGTGAAATAGAAGAAAAGGGAGAATATAGTGGAGAAATGAGAGAACTGAATAAGCGAGAACTAAAGTTCGGAAAAAAACTGAAGAAGAAGAATGAAAATTTAGAAGAAAGATGACTATAGAAAAGAAGTTAGCAGGTAATTTATTAGAGGGAAAATAAAGAAGAAAGAAAATAAGAAAAGAAGGGGGAAATCGTGAATGGAAACACTTGTAAAACGGGAAAATCATAAAAACAAAGGTTGGGTGGGTAAATATTATGAGAAAAAGAGCAAGTAAAGTGTGAGGAAAAAACTTGAAAGAAACTGAAAACTGAAAAAAAATCAAAAGGTTAGTGAAGAAATGAGATTAAGGAAAGAAATGGAAAATAAGACAGTTAAGATTTATTAAGTTATTTATTAGAGTGAGAATAAAGAAGGAAGAAAAGAAAAAAAGAAAAGAGAAGTTTGTGAATAAAACACTTGAAGTTTGTGTAAAAAAAAAGAAAAATATGAAAGAAATAAAATATTTTGTAGAAATGAAAGGATTGAAAAATGCTGTGATTAGTTGAAGAGATAACTAAAACAGAGTGAAGGATTGAATTTTGCAGAGTGAAATTGAAACATAAAAAGAAACTGAAATGATAAAGAGTAGAAAGATTAAGAAAAGAACCGCTAAGCACGCGGCCCAATAGTCAAGCTTTAAAAAGTCTGTGACTGTTTACGTCAGTGGTTATCAAACTTTTTTGCTGGCGGCGCACTAGGCAAATAAAAAAAATTTGCGACACATTTTTAAAAAATAAAGTAAGCTTTAAACAAATTATTGTGCAAATGTTAATGAGGTGTGTGTGCCTGTTTTGAGAAATAATTGAAACGAGGTCCGCCGCTCCTGTCTACCGCAGTACCCAGTATGAGAAATTTTGGTTTACATAGTGACATGAAATTGAAAAGTGAATATAAGTAGGCCTGACTGGTTAGTGGAAGTACGAAAAGATTGAAAGTGAAAGCGGGATAAGAATTGTCCTGAAAAATAAGAAAAGACAGGCTATGTTCTCCTCGTTCCTAAAAATAAACAACATCCTTCGCTTTCTGTAAAATCGGAAAATAGTTAACAAAAAGGAATATACAGTGAAACAAATCTCCAAACAAAATTAATCATTCCAAAACTATTGTGGCCGCAATGACCTGGCACTTAAAGCGTTAGACCCGTGGTAGAAATCCACGCCTCTCTCCACTTCACCCAGTATGTAATAAACTGGGTAGAAAAGTACTTAGTCATTTTGAAAAAAGTTCCTCACACATCGTTAGATATCACTGGCTTGTTATGGGTGAATAATCGGCGTTATATATAATAAACTTCAGCTTACAAATGTTCATAGTAGGCTAGGAAAAGTATGGAATTAAATGAAGAGATGTGTGATCGGAGTTAAAGTAAATAGAAGTGAGAGAATTTCATGCTTGAATGAAAAGATGATAATGAAAGAGTTCAAGAACGATTGATAGCAAAAAAGGAATAAAATAAAATAATAGGGAAAGAGGAAAGTTTAGAGAAGTGAGTGCGGATATGGGGTAAAAGATAAAAAGAGCTAGTTGAAATGTGTCTGTGAGAGAGATGGAATTGAGGTAGGTAGAATGTGAGTAGATAGAAAATTATTATCCAAATTAAAAGGAATAAATACATAACAAATCAGTTAGTAATATAAGGCAGGATTGAAAAATCTAGAGAAAAGACATAAGAGAGAAGAGAGAGATGTGTAAACAGAACGTTAGAAGTGTCACATAAAATGTGTGTGTGTGTGTTGTATGCCTGAAAAAGATGGTAACTAAGGAGATGAAAAAAAGATTGGTTGGAGTGAAAGTTAGGAGTAAAAAAATAGTATAAAGAGAATAAGTGATAAATGAGAAAATATAGGAAGAATGAAAGAGAGAATAAATTATAGTTTGGGAGAAGGAAGAGATGTGTAAAAAGAACGCCAGAAGTGTCACATAAAATGTGTGTGTGTTGTATGCCTGAAAAAGATGGTAACTAAGGAGATAAACAAAGATTGGTTGGAGTGAAAGTTAGGAGTAAAAAATAGTATAAAGAGAATAAGTGATAAATGAGAAAAATGGAAGAATGAAAGAGAGAATAAGTTATTGTTGAGAGAAGGGATAGATGTGTGAACAGAATATGTGTGTGTGCGGTGCACTGCTGTATTCCCGAAAACGATGATAATGACGGAGATAAGGAAAGATGGGTCGGAGTAAAAGTTGGGAGTACAGAAAATAGTATAGAGAGAAAAATGAATAAATGCGAAAATATAGGAAGAATGAAGAGAGAACAAATTATAGTTTGGGAGAAGAAAGAGATGTGTGAACAGAACGTTGGAAGTGTCATATAAAATGTGTGTGAGTTGTATGCCTGTAAATGATGGTAATTAAAGAGATAAAAAAGATTTATTGGAGTGAAGGTTGAGAGTAAAAAAAATAGTACAGAGAAAAGGAGATTAAAGAGAAAATATGGGAGAACGCAGAAGTGTCACATAAAATGTGTGTTGTGTGCCTGAAAAAGATGATTATTAAGGAGATGAGGAAAGATTAATTGGAGTGAAATTTAAAATTAAAAAATAGTATAGAGGGAAAAACAGATAAATGATAAAATATAAGAGAATTAATGAGAGAATAAATTATAGTTTGAGAGAAGGGAGAATTATGTAAACAGAACGCTAGAAGTGTCATATTAAATGTGTGTGTGTGTGTGTGTTCTATGCTTATAAAATAGTGATATATTTAATATATAGAGAATAAGAAATGAATGAGGAAACGCAGAAAATAAAAAAAGGATTATGAATATTGGAGAAAAAAGTGTGGAGATAAAGTAAAAGAAAGTTAGCTAAAATGTTTGGAGAGAAGAGAAGAGTTAATAGAAAAAATGTTGATATGGGGAAAAAGAGTGAGTAAGAATTAGTAACAAAAAGATGAGTAATGCAAAGAAAAGATGGGAGTGAGAGTGAAAACAGAGGAAGCAGAGTTGAGGAAAAAGGATAAATTTAGTTCGTTTTATTGAAGTTTAGTTTTATCTGAATGTTTTTTTAACGATGATTATTCACGCCTTTCACTCCGAACCCGGCCCTATAGATCACCCACCGATATCTAACAATATGTGAGGAGCTACTATAGTTTAGAACCAAGATGTGCAACAGAGGCCGGGGCTACAACCCGGCCCGCCAAGCCATTTAGTATGGCCCCCGTCAACACTTGGATTTTTCCTCATAAAGCATCAAATACTAATCCGACAGTTTAAAAGAACTCGAATCTTCGCGTCTCGGGATGAGGATATCACGAACTGTGATAGATAAGTATAGTTAAGTTAAGTTACGTGATATTCGGAGTAAGATTAAGTAGAATTGATATAGAACAAGAATTTCAATTTGGAAATATAAAAAGAGAGAAAGAGAAACTTCAATGGAGAGCTTGGAAAAATAAGGAAAATAAAGTTCAATGTGGAAATATAAGAGAGAGAAAGATAAATTTTAAAAAAGGGCTAGAAAAAATTTAAAAAAAAATGAATTTTAATGTGGGAATATAAAGAGAGAGAAAAAGTTATTTTAATGGATAGCTTGAAAATTTAGGAGAATGAATTTCAATTTTTGAATATAAAGAAAGAGAATGAAAAATTTTCTAGAAGAGTTTGGAAAAATTGAGAGAATGAATATAAACATATTAATATAAAGAGAGAGAAAGAGAAATTTTAAACTAGAGCTTGGAGAAATTAAGTTATATTAGAGAGAGAAATAGAAATTCTGAAGAAGAGCTTAGAAATATTGAGAGAATATATTTAAATTTGGAAATATAAATAGAGAGAAAGAGAGAAATATCAAAGAGAGTTTGGAAAAATTAGGAGAATGAATTTCACGTTGAAAATATTAAGAGAGAGAGAGAAATTCTGAAAGAGAGTTTGGAAATATTAAGAGAATGAATTTAAAGTTGGAAATATAAATAGAGAGAAAGAGAGAAATTTTTAAAAGAGAATTTTGAAATATTAAGAAGATTGAATTTAAAGTTGGAAATATAAATAGAGAGAAAGAGAGAAATTTTAAAAGAGAGTTTGGAAAAACTAAGAAAATGAATTTCAATTTGAAAATATAAATAGAGAGAAAGAGTGAAATTTTAAAGGAGAGTTTGGAAAAATTAAGAGAATGAATTTAAAGTTGGAAATATAAATAGAGAGAAAGAGAAAATTTTAAAGGAGAGTTTGGAAAAATTGAGAGATTGAATTTTAATTTGGAAATATAAATAGAGAGAGAGAAGGAAATTTTAAAAAAGAGTTCGGACATTTAAGAGAACGAACTTAAATTTGAAAATATAAATGAGAAAAAAAAGAAAAGTTTTAAAAGAGAGTTTGGAAATATTAAGAGAATGAATTTCAATTTGGAAATATTAAAAGAGAGAAAAAGAGAAATTTAAAAAAAAAAGTTTGAAAATATTAGGAGAATTGTTTTCCAGTTGGAAAAATAAATAGAGAGAAAGAGGGAATATCAAAAGATAGTTTGGAAAAGGAAGAGAATGAATTTTAATTTGGAAATATAATAAAGAAGGAAGAGAGAAATTTTAAAAAAGAGTTTGGAAAAATTAAGAGAATGAATTTCAATTTGAAAATATAAAAGAAAGAAAGAGAGAAATTTTAAAAGAGAGTTTGGAAAAATTAAGAAAATGAATTTTAATTTGGAAATATAAATAGAGAGAGAGAAATTTTGAAAGAGAGTTTGGAAATATTAAGAGAATGAATTTCAATTTGGAAATATAAATAGAGAGAAAGAGAGAAATTTTAAAGAGAGTGTGGAAAAACTAAGAAGATGAATTTCAATTTGAAAATATAAATAGAGAGAAAGAGAGAAATTTTAAAAGAGAGTTGGAAAAATTAAGAGAATGAAGTTCAATTTGAAAATATAAATAGAGAGAAAGAGTGAAATTTTAAAAGAGAGTTTG